ATATGCAAAGGCAACTCACTGCAGAGACTCCTCAAGATGCATTTTTTGATGGAGAGAGAAATAACTGAAGTATGAAAATGAAATTGTGGTCTTTAGGAACATTATTAATTCTTTGGTATTATGGAAAAAATGCAATATTTTAATTGTGGCGAGCTTGCAGATGTAGGCATGTTATCTGATATCTGCCTGCAACTGATGTTACATAGGTATTTGAAGTGGAGACAACAGGGTTTGCGGGAGGATGAGTCAGAGACGGCTGACAAATTTGTCCTCTCATATAATGCAATTGGGGGGAATGGGTATTAAAGGAATATTTTTTTTTATATGCCTAACTTTAATTTTTAATGTTAAAAAAACCCCAAATTTGAGTCCTGCAAAGAGGTTAAGTGGAGAATTAGTAACTCTGTAATTAAAAACATAGCAAGGAAGGGAAACCATATTTAAAGAAGGGAGGAAGCAGTCTTTAATGAGACTTAAAGATTACTTTCAGCATTCACTTCACTGAAAATCTTGAAGAAAAAAATGCAGGAGAATGAAAGTTTTGTAAAAGATTTAGACTCTCAAGTTGTTTCATTGAGCAGCTGGAAGAATTCCCAACTTATGTCAGACACAGTTCTGAGAAGGGGAGAAGACAACCCTTTGTTTGTTCCCAGCATAAAAAAAAAATTAAAAAACAGGATTTAAGATTTCTCTATAAAAAGAAAGTTTATTAAAAGGTGCAGACTGTTTCTTCCCTACCCCAACCCTAAAAGTAAACTTTTGTTGTCTTATTTTATCTCTTTAATCTTATTTTCATGCCTTTTATCATAGTGCAGCCATTATATGATAGCCATATTATAGTGCATTTGTATTTCTTTTAGACCTTTTGCATGGGTTTTCTTAATCTTTGACTGTTTGACAATGAAACTGCAATGAGTAAATAATCTAATATTCAAAGTGCATCTTTCACAGGTGAGCCATACCTGCCACAGACAGAAGGTTTATCTGTTTGAACGAATATTGAGCTCAGGCATCAATGTTGAATGCTTTCCTTATCATACTAACATCAGAAGTGATTTGTACTTCCTGCTGGATCATGAATGCAAAAATCCCAAAAAAAAGGTCAAGCAAGGTTCAATCTTGACAAGTGTATTACTCTGGCACCAGTATTTGGTTTCTCCACTGATGGGTTCTCTGTGCAAACCAGCAACACTCTTGAAACATCTAAGTCAAAACTTACGTGCGATGTCTAAGGTCTTTAGAAAGACAGGTAGAATACAAGTTATTCCAGTGTCAGCTGTTGAAGTGTACGCAACAGATGAATGTCTTCCAGACTGCCCTATATTACATTATTTCATGTTTGGGCAGACCTCTCAACTGGAGTAAGTTAGGATCTCAAGCAATAATCTGATCTCTTCTCTTGTCCAAGGCAGGATCAATACTGTTGATGTCCTTTCTGACAGATATTTGTCTGACCAGTTCAAAGACATCAGAGACTCTTCAGGCAGTCTGCTCTCATTTTCTGAGGTGTAGGACTAACTGCCATGCCCTAAAATATTTCTGGAATCTGCTCTGTAAGCTTGTGTTTAGCAGCAGTATCATATCCTTCTGATCAGTTTGATGGCAAGAGTCTTCTCTCTTAAAGCGATTCCTGTGCTGTGTGTGTTTTCCTCATCTGCAAACACATTTCCTGGAATGGAGCATTTCATTTGACCCCTTTGGACTCTTTCTGTAGTCTGTGCTATCTTATAAAAATTGATTACTTCAGTAGGTTTTGTTTTGGGTTGGATGGCAGAAGAAATTTAGACCACTAAAGCCATGCCATACGTTACTCCACAAAAAATGGTAGCTCTTATTTGTTTTCAGAGTGGGGGGTTTGTGTTTGTTTTTGTTTGGGTTGGTTGGTTGGTTGTTTTTCTGTTTTATTTGGTTGGTTTTCTCTTTTCTTAGTCTCTGTGAAAAGGAACAGGTGTAAAGCCAAACCTTACCTTTGGTTCAGGGAAAACTCAAAAAATCTCCAAACTATGCATGTCTTGGCTGCTAGGCTCAAGAATGGTATTACATGGGTGGTCTTTGATTTGACTGTCTCTGCTTGGCTGAGAAAGTGAAATTAGACTCCAGGTTAAAGCTCACCAATCCAGAATTTAGGTGGCCTCTTAGCTGCTCTTGTAAAGCACTCTAACATCTGAAGTTTGATCTGTGTTACAGTTTCGGGATTGGGTGATTGCCTTGCTCGTCTCCTTTGCTTAAATAGGAGTGTTACCGCTCATCTTGTATTGCAAGTCAGAGAGATGAATTGTACGGACAGATGGCTTGAGACAGACAGGTTATTACAATGATAGTCCTTCTATATGTGGTACATATGGATTCTGTGAGCTGCCATTCTCTTCTGCTATTTTCATGTCTTTTGCCACCTGGATTCTCAATTGACTGAGGCACAACTAGGCATGCATAAAGGGGTTTTTTTCTTCTTTCTTGACATATGCAAACCCCACCTCGGTTACAGAAGAACAAACACTGCTTCTGAAAGAAATCTGATTTGTTGTGTGTAGGCATGTGTGCACCCCAGAAGCAGAATTAATATAGTCAGTATAATTAATGTTGAGTAAATAGTTGTTTACACTTGGGCTTGACTTGGCATGATTTATGATGGTACGACATGGTGTTCTACCGATCTTCCTTCTATTACCCACATTCCTAGTGCTTTTTCTTAAATTGTTTGGGTTTTTTTTAAATAACTGTTTGTAATAATACTTCAAAGTTTATAGGTTGTGAAAAGACCTTTGAAAATATGGACTCAGTGCACATCAATACAGAAAGAACTCTCTCACATTAGAGAGGAACTAGAAAAGGCATTCTGAGATGAATCAAGTTACTTTTCAAGTTAACAAAAATAGCTCAGTTATCTAATCAAGATAACTATGAATATTAGTTGTCTTACCTATTTCACTCTTCTCTGAAGTCAAGGATGTATGGAATTGATCTTGCATCCCTACAAGCTCTTCACAGTGACAGTTTACTTTCACATTGTGTGTGTTAATTAAAGAAAGATATTGCTGCTTCTGATCCTTTCAGGCCAGTGTTTAAATTCCAGTCTGGAAACCATCACTAAAAAATATGGTGGAATTCAGCAAGGTATTCAGCTTTCCTCCAGAGTCACGTAAATACCTGCTGAAACCCTCTTTAGAACTGTGTGCAGTCAGAGACTGATTTATTTAGCTCTGATATTTAAGGTTTGTAGAGAGGGTGTTGGGGATTTTGCTTTTAATTCGTACACCTGAGTAGGTTCTAAAGCTCATAGCTGGCACTGAGTTAAATAGTAAAGACTATGTCTTATTCTCTTGGAGTTACTTGTTTATTCAGGTTTTAATGATCAAAATGAAGCATTCATTTAATGAGTACATTACTGGATATTTACACATTTACTAGCTTTAAAGTGTTCTTAAGTGTTACCTCTTTAATAATGACTTTTTAATGCTCATGTTTAATTTCCTAGCTAATTTTTCTGTAAAAACATGAATGAAAGTAAAGCAGGCAAGCGGCCGGTGGCTTTATAAGACCTCTGCAAAGATATATGCAAGGAAGGCTTACTCATAGTGTCTACATTTAGACTGCCTTTGGGAAATCATATCTTAGAAGGCCAAGTTGGAAGCTGAAGTTCCATAGATGTTAAGTGTTGGGTGTTTCTAATTGCTCCCTGGAGACACCTAATTAGATGTCTGAAATGGTCTCCATGAATACCCTATGCTGTGTCCCTGTTTTGTGTCTGCCAGCCTTTCAATGCAAGGAATCAAATATGTCTTTGCGGTGCTATGACAAGTGATCATGTTCCTGCCAAATTTCATTAGAATATAACCGAGGAAACTAAATAAAGCATTCAACTGTAAACTTTCTGAAAACAAGTAAATTTGTATTTAAAAAAAACCCAAACAACAACAAACCAACAAACAACCTGTATTATTTGTACTACCCATGCATACAGGTGCTGTTAGATAGTGTTCTTGCAGGAATTCCTCTTATTAGCTAAAGGTTATTTTGTCCCTTCTATATTGCTTGGGGGTTTTTTCTGCTAGGAACTCTTGTGTATCCTGTAGAAATCCACACTTGTGTTGTTAATATGTTGTGAAACTTACTCCTGATTTCATGCTCGTACAGATCACAAAGTCCTAACAAAGTGATGAGTGTTTAAAGTGTGACGCACAGCTATTTCTGATGTGAATCCCAGACTATGTTCTTTTTTGCACTGTATTTCCAACTACAAAGCAAAATATGGCTGCAGACAATGCAGAAGAGTCTTTTCTGTATCTTAGAAACACAAAAACTCTTGAAGTTTCCTTTGCTGGGAAACAGAACAACATTGTACTTCATATTTTGTAAGACGCTTCTGATGTTCCAGTCCAGTTTCAGGCTGAGCAATGTACAATACTTTCTGAAAAGAACGGCCATGTTAAATGGCAGGAACATGACTGTAAAATACACATTATAGCTGTTTCAGTCTGCATGCTAGTAGTGACAGGTGCTCAATGATTGTCAGCATCCTTGTCAGCACGGAGACTCCTTTGACATTAAAGTCCCCAGCTCGGTCCTGATGCTGTGCAGCTCTATTGGCAGTTCCATCAGGCCATAGCTGATCAGCGAATGTCAGAGCCTGCGCTGTTCTTCTGGTATGTCGCCAGCCCTCTCTGTTTTCTGGCTGGCCTTGCGTGTTATTTGAACTTGCCACACTTCTTCAGCAGCTTTCCTGTGGGAAACGAGCAGATAGGTCATGGGTATATAGGTATCTTCAGGGCAATGCAAAACCACATCCAGAGTGACTTGCATAAAGGTTTGTAACGATTACCATTGCTTTAAGCCAATCAATGGGTAAAGTACCCAGGGACTCATTAAGTGGCATTTGTGGTGTCTGTAACAGAGTTTTGAGCTGTATTTCAGGAAATGCAGTGACAGCCTTTAATGTCTAATTGACCTCTTCTCTTTGTTTCACATTCCATATTTCCTTCTGATGTGTTCCCCCGTGGCAGCAAACAGCCCTGCTCAGTATTCTGAACTTCTGCTCAGAATTGCAGCACCTCAGCCTGGGCAGCTGCGTCATGGTGAGTACTTACACCACTCGGGGGGTGTGGGGCTGTATGTGTGTGTGTGTGCACACTTGCTTTGGAACCCAGTCTGGGGTTATGTTTCACAAAGACATGTTAAATGCTAGATTGATATTATACTCTCTTAAAGGGTCCAAGATGAATGCAGTTTAGTCATATACTTAGGCGTTATATACTAGTTTAGAAGGTCTAAAACAGCTTGTAGGCTTTCTCACAGTTCTTCAGCTTCTTCCTAAATTTTTGGGCATTCTTTATATGCGTAATCACTTTTTCTTTCCAAAAGTAGTAATCAAGCCTTACTTATTTTTATTCAGACCAAATCATCATTTCTAGGCGATTAATGCTTGTGTCTGACCCTACTGTACCACAAGATAAATATTTTCAGTAAAAGCCACTTGTCATAGACTTGCTGGGAACACTCATGATTTAAAGAAGGAGAATACAGGAACAGCAGCAATTCCTGTGCTGCACTCACTGAGCTGTATTGCCTTTGTGTGCCAGAGGTAGATGAGACTTAGCTGACCTTCCTTATAGTTCAAGAATCATAGAATGGTTTGGGTTATAAGGGACCTTAAAGATACCTAGTTCCAACTCCCTGCCATGGGCAGGTGTCCTGGGTTCAGCTCTAGGAGTTATTTGTCTCCTTCTCAGGCATTAAGCCACCACAGCAGGGACATCTTCCACTAGACCAGGTTGCTCAAAGCCCCCGTCCAGCCTGGCCTTGAACACTGCCAGGGATGGGGGAGCCACAGCTGCTCTGGGCAACCTGTGCCAGCACCTCACCACCCTCACAGGAAAGAATTTCTTCCTTGTGTCCAATCTAAATCTACCCTCTTTCAGTGTAAAGCCATCCCCCACCTTGTTCTATCAGTACATACCCTTGTAAAAAAACCCTCTCCAGCTTTCTTGTAGGCCCCCTTTAGGTACTGGAAGGGTGCTGTAAGGTCACCCCTGAGCCTTCTCTTCTCCAGGCTGAACAAGCCCAACTCTCTCAGTCTCTCTGTCTTCAAAGGAGAGGTGCACCAGCCCTCTGATCCTCTTCATGACCTCCTCTGGACTCACTGAATGTAGTACTGAAGGGAGGGGTCATATGGGAGCAGAGTAGAGGGGCAGGACCACCTTCCTTAACCAGCTGGACACGCTCATTTGATGCAACTCAGGATACGGTTTGCTTTCCATGCTGCAAGTGGACACTGCTGGCTCATGTTGAGCTTTGTCAACCAACACCCCTAAGACTTTCTCCTCAAGACTGCTCTCAATCCATTGTCCAGCCTGTATTAGTGCTTGGGATTGCCCCAGGAAGCAAGTGATAAAAGGAGGATTGGCTCAGCCTTCCCTGCTTTGACTTATGGACAGAAGAGGAAGTCAGTGTGACTGTTTTTTCAACAGTCCTTATCTTCCATGGTTTTTGCTAGTGGGTTTGATTTCTTCTGCCTGTGTGTTCGGACTTTGTTTCAGTCCCTTTGGCTTGCCCAAAGTAACTAGTAAGACTTCCATAAGAAGATGCAGCAGCTGGTCAGCCTAGAATGGAAACAGGCATATTCTTTAATCTGCATGTGCTTATGGTTGCCGTGCCTATGGTCATAAAAATCAGTTTTAATCATCTTTTGAAAGAAAAATAACTATGAAAGGGTGAGGGCTTTTCAAAGAAAAAAAGCTTTTCACTGCCTTTTCACTGATCCTTAGTATAAGTGAATTAAAGGCACCTATATCTGGGAGTTGATAGGAAATTTGTTTTATTTTTGTCATTTTAAAAAGGAAACCTCTACTATACAATAGTTTTCAGAGCTCTTTAGAAATGACACATGCTTAAAACAGATCTGTAGGTGTGTTAGCAAGCAAATCTTGAAACACCTATGTATGTCTGGAAGGATGGTATAGATGACAAATTGTTTGCTTTCCTTGCAGATTGAAGACTATGATCTTATAGCAAGCATGATGGGAGCAAAATGCAAAAAGCTTCGCAGTCTGGATTTGTGGAGATGTAAAAACATAACTGAAAGTGGAATAGCAGAATTGGCGTCAGGCTGCCAGCTTTTGGAAGAACTTGATCTTGGCTGGTGCCCTACATTACAGAGCAGTACAGGCTGTTTCACAAACCTTGCACGTAAACTCCCAAACCTGCAAAAGCTCTTTCTTACGGCCAACAGGTCTGTGTGTGACACAGACATTGAGGAGCTTGCTGCTAACTGTACGCATTTACGGCAGCTGGATATACTGGGTAAGAAAATGTGGGAATATTGGGTTTTATCTTACTGTGTCTCAGAAGTCATGCTGTTAAGAAGGAGTCCTTAAGACAAAACTGTCTTCTAGACATATTTTTGAATATTTCTTAAATTATGGTTTGAAATATTAAAATAAAAAAAAGTTTTACTCACTGCAGTGAATTTCTGACTCAGAATCCAGTGGATTTATACCAGCCATGTAATTTGACTACTTAGTATGGATTGCTTAAACTGAAATTTAAGTGCAAGATTTTTCCAAAAGCTTTTAGTTTCGTAACCATTTTTTTTAACTGAAGTCTTTCTCTTCTGACTATCAAAAGATGCAGTTTCTTAACCTTCTTTCTGCTTTTGCTGTTTTATTTCTTTGAAGCATGACGAAGTATATTTATAGTGTGAGTCTGTGATCAATAAACAGATTTCTGCTTTTGCGCAATACAGATATATCAAGCAATATTGAATTTCTTTGTCACTTTTACCAAGAAGTGAGTTTGACTCATTAAAGAGGAAAAGGTAATTAACAGCAAAACTTAAAATGGACTTTCTAGTAAGGTGGGAAGGAAGTGATGAGGGGCAAAAGGTATAGCATATCTTGAATTTCTAATCCTCTACAGCTTCTATAGGTAAAAATATTTTTAGAAATCTAAAGTAAATACACTTTGGGCTCTTGAGTAAGGACTTAGAAATATGGTTTTGCATGGTACTAGATTTATTCTTTTTATGGTGGAATGTGAGGTTTTCTTTTTAAAATAATGTAGGACAGCAGGGATATTTGTGACATCAGTGTGGGAGAAATGTCTTCATGCTTTTACTGACTTATCTTCATAGGGCTAGTTGAAAAAGGAAGATTTAAATGAAAGGAAATAAAGTAACCGCACTATGTATTTTTAATTTTTAATAATTTAAATGAAAATATTACTTTTGAGAGAGATGCTGTAAAGAACTGACAGCCCTCAACTTGAATAATGTTCCAAGCAAGTTTAAGGCTATCAGCATTTCTCATTCCAAAAAATTTACCATACGGCTCCAAATTGTCACTCCAGTATAGCTAGTACGCTCTTCTATCATGAAATATGTATTTAGTCATCTCTGACTGAGAAAGTTGCCTTCAGACCAGCATGGGAAGAAAAGATCATAGAATCGTGGAATGGTTTGGGTTGGAAAGGACCTTAAGATCATCTAGTTCCAACCCCCCTGCCATGGGCAGAGACACCTCACACTAAACCAGGTTGCCCAAGGCTCTGTCCAGCCTGGCCTTGAACACTGCCAGGGATGGAGCATTCACGACTTCCTTGGGCAACCTATTCCAGGGCCTCACCACCCTCACTGTGAAGAACTTCTTCCTTATATCTAATCTAAACTTCCCCAGTTTAAGTTTAAACCCATTACCCCTTGTCCTACCACTGCAGTCCCTAAGGAAGAGTCCCTCCCCAGCATCCTTATAGGTCCCCTTCAGATACTGGAAGGCTGCTATGAGGTCTCCACACAGCCTTCTCTTCCCCAGGCTGAACAGCTAAAAACTCCACCTAGTACAAATTATAGAGAGTTGATGTATATGTCCACAGGAGATAATGTGTTCTGTGTATCCTTAAGGAATCTTACTTTGTAGCTAGATTATCAACAGCACATTTCCCTCTTCAGACATGAAAAATTTCCAAACGCCATGCTGAATGAAGTCTTTCATAAGCACGTATGTTCCGCTGACCACCCACTTCCATGCATTTCTGTTACAATGGCATTATGTCTGCCCACAAAGTGGTCTGACCTTTTCATTACACCAGAGGCTGCCCAGTGAATAGTTGGCTGTGTTAAATCCTGTGGATAGTCTTGCTACTTTTGTTGCCTCTCTGCCAGCAGTGAAGGTTTGTTGCTACACTTCTTCAGCATTTGAATTCACGTTTGAATTCAGTTTGACGTCTTACTGACATTTTTGTGGAAAAATAACACATGAACATGGAAAAGAAATTTGTTCTATTCTCTCTGTGCTTGCCAGTATTCCTGAGTCAAGTGGATTTGCAGTAAACCTTTCCCAGTGAGACAGCATGTTGGGTTCAGTAAATGCTTTCCAGGGGATATCCAGTTAAACTATCCAAACGGTGTTACAAAAAAACCTTAATATCTGCCTTCCAGACCTCACTTTCTTTCTTCAGAGGAATACTTGGTAGGGTGGAAAGTATGTTGTCTTCTGCTGTAAATGAGTCAGTACATGGTATGATATGTGTGAAGGAGTTGCCTAGCTTTTTTGTCAACAGCAAGGAAACTGTGCTTATTTCTTTGTCTGAATATGGGAACCATTACAGCCTGTGGTTAAAAGGAAGAGTTGTCAAGTAGAACCACATCAGGTCATCTGGAGGCAGAGTTGCCAGGTGTTCCCATGTAAGTGCAGAAGTCTCTGTTGGTCTGAACTAAAGAGCTAGTCTCTCACAGTGCAGGAGTACCAAGAAAGTCATAAATCTCTGTATGTACTCTAACTTTTGGCAGCTGATGTAGGGCCATCCCGTTACTATAAGCTACAGAAATGCTTAACGTGTTTTTGTCCTTTTGAATGAGTGTGACAACAGGTCTGAAGTTGTTAGAGGCCTGAGGTCAGTGCTTAGCTTTGCAAGTGTAACCTTGAACAGTGGGTCTCCTCTGTGATGTGAAAGAATGAGAGGTGCTCTCATTATATCCTTTGTCATCTCCGAAGTACAGAAATATCTGGCTTGTACAAGCATTGTAAAGGGTGTAGAAGTGTTGCTGATAGGTTAGCATTGCACACCATAGGAGAATTTCTTTTGCTTCAACAAGCTGTATAAAAGCTTGAGGTTTTTTGCACTTAACTAAGTAGAGATCAGAATGTCATACCTTGCACTGTAGTCACCAGAGTTAACAATACTAGCCTGGTTTCTCTCTGCAGTTGTTAGAACTTATAAACTTGTCAGGGCAAACTTCTTGTTTTGGTTATGGATTATTTATCATCAGAATAGCTTCAAGACTGGAAGCGTCTAAGCCTCTGAAAGAAATCTTGTTGAACTCTGTGTCTTTCATTTAAGTATTTCAAAATGAATGTTATATATACTCTGGATGCTGTTTTCAGATAGTAAGTCCTGTGACTTGCAACCCATCTGTCCTTTATCATTATCATTTGGCAATTCCCTTGTTAAAGAATCAGAGGACTCCATACAAAATGAAAATTGCCAGTTTTCAAGGGCTCTATAAACCTATTGGCCTGTATAAAGTGTTATTCGATGGTAGCTGTGTTTGTGGTGTGTAATACATACTTCAGAAAGTAAACTCCTGTTTAAAAAAAAGAAATTATGCATTGGATCCATATCTGCTGTATTATAATACAGTTTGGAAGTGGAAGCATGATGTGTGTCACTGAGTATATGAAGGTGTGCTTCTTGAAGTTCTAGTTATGGGGTTTCTTTTACTCATTACACACAGAGCTTGCAAGTATCATTTCCTTCTCTGCCCACATCTTTGCCACTGACTGACATGGCAGGTTTCTACCCTGCTGCAGAGTGATCCAGCTGTGATCATCTGACAATTTTGTAGTGATGGAGTGCATCATCCAGGGCTATCAAAAGTTGTGGACACCTCTAGACCTGTAGTTAAAAACTAGTCTTCAAACTGTGATCAGCATTGAGCAATGTGACAAGTCAGATGACAACCTGAATTGGCAGTGCCAAAAGCTTTTCTTGTACATCATATCAGCTGCTTTGTTCTGTTGCTGTGGGGCTACCAGTTGCTGTCAAGGGTGAAGAATAAGTCATCTTAACCTCACTCCCCAAAATTCCCGACTGCCTGTGTCCTGCACAAAAAGGGTAATGAAAAGTAGATGCCCTTGTTAACACAAAATTCATGTACTCCTATCTACATACCAACACCTCCCACCCCTTCCTGAGCAACAGAAAACCTAACTGCCCCCTTGCCAGCTGTCAAAATTTTCAGCTTTATCTTGAGAGCATCAACACGTAGTTAGTCAATTCAAACACAAAAATGTGTAGAATGTTAAAATTTTGAATTTGAGTTGTGTGACTAAAATGTAAGGAATAAAAGGCTAGTCTGGCTGCTGTAAGGGAAAAAGGAAAAGTAAGAATGTTTGAGGGGTACTGCTAGTTAGTTTTCAGATCTCTACTCTTAAACATCGTTTGGTGTGTAGTGATACACCTTGCCCTAGAGATAAGGGCTGTAACATTTTTTGTAGCCATCATACGCAGGTCTTCTGAACAGCTCTAGAATTTGCAGATTTTGATACATGATAGATATATATTAAGTCTTTTACAGACAATAAGCATAATTGTTCTAGTAAAGAAATCATTACTCAGAAGTGCCTTTATACCGAACAACAAAATTAAATAGCAGATTTTAATATACTGGTTATGTATTAATTCTGAGAAATAGCTGATTAGTCCATGTAGGAGAAGTTGTCAGTAATGAAGGTCCAAAAGCCTCCGAAATCTACAAAAATGCACTATATGGGTAACAAGCAGGTTATGTTGTCAGTCTTTCAAAAGCAAAGGAAAGCATCTTGTATTGCGCTTCTGAAGTGCTTTTGAATGTGCTTTTAAGAAACCACATCACTAATTGTACATTATATAAATTAAAGTAAGGCTGCAGATGATGCTTGCTTATCCTGTGGTGTGACTAACCAAACCCCAACCAGGTTGCAGGGCTTTTTAGTTTTTAAAAAAAGGGTATTCCCTAGTGTAAAATTGTAAGTCTGAAGAGGGAGGAAGAAACAGGTGCAGTAAAACATGCAATTTAGGATGGCCTACTTAGACTGAGATTTTTAATGGATTTGTAACTTTGATGAAATGGTAGGAGAACTGTCGAAGTTCAGGTAGGAAGGGATGAAGAACATCCTACACAAAAAAATCTGTGGCTAGGCATCTAGATCTAGAATTTTTTGTAGAAACACACATTTGGATCTTGAAGCGTAAAAGCTGTGATGCGTAAATAAGACTGGTTTTAAATGAAGGTGCTGATGCAGTAGCAATTTTAAGGCTTGGTGAAAAAAAAAAAAAGATAAGTAGCATAATATGTTGTTCTTAGAGTTTCAGTTGGAATGGTAGAGCACATCTTGATGATAGGACAGTGGTAAAATTTATGGTCAAGCAAAGTGAATAACTAAAAGCATATTACAGAATTTCTGTGTATGGCCATAGGGACTGTTACATCAACCACCAGACAGTTGTGGTGACAGTGATCATATAATGATAAGGGAGTTAAAAGTCACAATAATGAGAGCTTTGATCACCTCCCTGTAGGTGAGGTAAAATTTGGGGGCATGGTAGGAAAGATTGGTTTTGGGTGATGTTAAATGATATCTCAAAGCAGCTAATCTAAGAGCTTATCATAGAAGTGAAGACTATACTTAGATACCCCCTTTCTTACACAGAAGAGTACAGGAGAGTACTAAAAACAGAGGCATCTTTCTGGAAATGAATCCTGTTCAGAGAAGGAAAAATAGGAAGATGAATTTTAGAAAGTGAAACAAAATCACAGTAATGCAGTATGAGATATTATGGAACTATTGGCTAAAGGAAAATGCTAAAACTGTATTTTCAGATACGTTAGAAGAGGTTTACAGGAGAGTTACTGAGGTTGGTAGGTACTCCACATGTGAAGGATTACTCGGATCAAGAAGGCCATTGCAGCAGAACTGTTGTCTGTCATTAGGGTTCATGGCAAGGAGGATCAAGTAGGCTGCTACATCAGAGCCATTCTTTCCAGGAGATTAGCCTGAAAAGCTGCCTTAAATTGGAATGCCAATACAGAAAGCTTTTGAACAGATCAATACATTGAACAATAATAAATTGTTAGGGCTAAATAGTATTTATGCAGTGGTTCTAAATGAGCTTAAATACAGAGCTGTGGAAATCTTATTTCTGGTGTGTGATCTGTCACTTAAATCAGCCTTAGCACTAGAGAAATGAAGGGTTATGAACACGAGACAAGCTTCTCTAAAAGGTGCAGGTTAGAAGCTGCAAAACAGTTAAGATCATCTTTTGCTCTGTGAAAACCAGTTGCAACCATAACGTCAGTTGGTGGACTTGAAGGCCATTATGATATTTTGAGGGAGAGCTGCATCCCTGTGAGGATAGTGTAGTTATGCTCTCCAGTATTTTAGGATTCTGCGTAGTTCCTCATGATCGTGATCTAGTCTGTAAAGGTTTGGATTTTCAAAAGCTTTAGCCAGTGTTGTTCTCCTTTTGTGACTTAGTTATCTTCTCCTGGGTTATGAGTGTTTCAAAGACAACAGAGGACAAGAACATTGAAATCACGTCATTACTGTAGTCACTGAAGTTCTGTACTGACCTGCTTATAAGTAATCCAGGCAAAGGGGTGGATAATGCATTACCAGAGGGTAATGCACAGCTATTCAGGGTAGAAAAACCTTAAGCTGAAGAATTTAACACTGAAAAATTGCAGAATGATTTTATGACACTTAGTAAACAGATGATAAAGCAAGAAGAAAACATTCCATCAAGTGCAAAGTTATTGCATGAGGCAAAATAACATTAAGAATATGGGGGGAGGGGGCTTTATGTTAGCTACTGTTTAGTAGGAAAGAGATCCTGTGGACAATTTTTGGAAAACATTAGCTCATTGCTCAGCATCATTTTGACAGGCAAAAAGAATTTTAAGATGTTTTAAGAAAGAAATGGAGAAACACTGTAAGACCTCATTTAGAGTTACTAGCTCTGTGCTTAGTGCACTGTATAGTTCTAGTCGTCCGATTTTAAAAGTACTAAATTAGTGCAGAAACAAAACAGCAGGGGTCATCTGAGATGCAAAAGAGTCTGGAAAACAGGCAGCCTTGAGGGAACAGAGAAGATGTCCATAGGGTTATAAATGATGTAGAAATAGTGAACTGGGAGTGATCTCTCACTGCTTCTTTGTGATTCATTGCCCCTTAATTATTGCAATTAATAGTCAGTGGGTTTAAGGTTAAATTAGTGCAGAAACAAAACAGCAGGGGTCATCTGAGATGCAAAAGAGTCTGGAAAACAGGCAGCCTTGAGGGAACAGAGAAGATGTCCATAGGGTTATAAATGATGTAGAAATAGTGAACTGGGAGTGATCTCTCACTGCTTCTTTGTGATTCATTGCCCCTTAATTATTGCAATTAATAGTCAGTGGGTTTAAGGTTTGGGGGTTGTTTTTGGGGTTGGTTTTTTTTTTTTTTTTTTTTGTAAGCAGTATTGGCCTTGGCCATAGACAAGATCCTGAACTAGATGGCTTTTTGAAGTGCAGTTCAGCTCGAGATGGAGCTGTCTAAGTTGAAGTGTCTACTAGCAGGTATGTGTAGTCATGTTGGATGTATGAATTATAGAGCCAGGAGAGCTTGTTTTACTCTACTGTGTTCATCCAGGCTTGGTTCGCTTGCCCAGAGTAGCCTGCCTGGCTTCCAGGTGTTCCAGTAAGGCATGGATCTCCTCCTCTGGGTTCACAGATCTGAATTAAAATTGTGTTACAGTAGCATTTTTTTCATAACAGAGTATGAAGTAGCTTTAAGAAAAAAAAAATATTATTCTCACTAACTTTACAATTTGCTTTGTTTCTTTGTTTTGTTTTTGAACAGGGACAAGGATGGTAAGCCCTGCATCTTTAAGAAAATTGCTGGAGTCTTGTAAAGATCTTTCTTTACTCGATGTGTCCTTCTGTTCGCAGATTGACAATAGAGTTGTCCTAGAACTGAATGCCAACTTTCCTAATGTGTTCATAAAAAAAAGTTTCACTCAGTGACTCACTGCTTAAGCTGCTGTGAAATTCATTTGACAGAGTTGTTTCCTGTGAATTTGTGCTGACTTTTTTTAAGAAGACTATAAATCTGCTGCGAAATAGTGGAAACTATTAATTATCTACAAAAAATGGGTAAAATACACATAAATAAATTACGCGTTTCTTAAAGAGTTGATATTGCAACTAAGAATTGTTTTACTCTGTATTAATTGGTGGCACTGCATGTTTTTAAATACTAGCCATCTGTGTGGCTTTAATGAGAAGGAAATTAATAACATCATCTTAAATGTCCCTTTATAGAGTGTTACACACAATAAATTCTGTTTATATCCAGATGAAAGCAGAATTTCAGTATTTAACAGTAAGGAAAAGATGGGTGCTTCCTTTTTATGTATAAGTGTTTGTGTATATATGAATGTATACAGATGTATTTGTATATACATAGATACTGTAGCATTCTCTCTTGGTCTGCAGCATAAGATGTATAATCTGGCCTATATAATTAGTTGTTTGAAAACGTGTTTATGATTGTAAGAATGGGTCAGAAAGACACTGTTGTCTTCAGTTTTTTGGCAGTGAATTGCATCTAATACATTTTTCTCCCTTCCTTCACCTGAAATAGACATTGTGATGTTTCATAGTCCAGCCTAAGTGACGCAACTGGTAAATGAAAGAACCTTCCATCTGGACTTAGAGCAGAAACAAAAGATAAAATTGCCAGCTGCTTCTTGGTATTGGATATAAAGTTTGAGCCAGGTACTTATTGTTATAACTGGTAATGTGTAGGAAACTCCAGAGCAATTTTCTTTTCAAATTTCCATCATGGTCAAGACTTGATTTGTGATACATCTGGTTATCATGCAGAATACCACGAAAAATAGACTTAGGGTAATGCATGACGCTGGTATCAAATCTACTGCCAAGCGTAAAACCAGATATCTTTGTTCAGTAAAAAAGCAGTGAAAATATAGTGGGTTTGAAACAAGGGCAATGTGATTTGGTGATTTAATAATCACCAAACGTTAGCATTGGATTTGGTTTGGTTTTGGATTTGTTTGGTTTGGTTTTCCAAGAGGTACTGTTGCACTCTCTCTAGCACTGTTTAGCCTCTGAAGAAGGAAAACTATCAATAGACAGTTTCTGGAGGTTTCTTCCTTTTGCACTTTCTTGGATGAAGATTTTCTCCCCTTTTCTTTTTTTTTCTTTCTTCTTCCCTTGAGTACCACGGCTACAGTATGTTGCAATGTACAGCTTGAGTTTAGAATTTGAATTTTGTAGCCATTGTTGATGAATATGGACCATGAAATATAGCCTGTCATTTGATATTGATTCCACTGTTCTTGTATTGATGGCACTTATTACCTACTGGAATAAGAAGAAAATTGTTTTGTCTGGCAGAAGAACATGACTGCACTGAAGATCACTGGCAAAGAGTACTTCAGTTTATGCAGTAAATACAGTAAATAACGGACAAATCACTGAAGATCTGGCGATCTCTGTGACTCCTGAATGAACGCTTTGAACTCTTTGTGCTGGTGCCAATACTTTATACATCATGTCATGAAACAGCTACAGAACATTTATCTAATCTTATAGAGTGACCTTTTTCTTCAGATTTTTAAATTTTACAGAAACTTTTGGGAGTTCCAGATCCAAAGAAGAGCATGCACAGTTGGCTTTTTGATTTTTCTTCCACACAGATGGCACTATGGGATTTGCAACTTGATTATGCCATTCCATTTTTTTCTTTTGTCCCCAGAAAACTGGACATTGACAAGAGATCTTTAGATTGATTTACTTTTTTTTTCCACACTGGCAGTTGTCAGCATTGGTATGATTCTATGAGAGACCTCATTTCTTTCAATCAGGTTTGGGTTGATTTATTTTTCTGGGAACTTAAGCTTTTAAATTTTTTTCTTTTTTTCTACAAGTAATATTTTTCCTTGTAATTGAGTATTAAACATTATTGTTCTAGAGAACACAGGTTCAGATAATGGGAGTTTACAAAGAACAGTGTTTTGAGACAAATGTTTTTGTTGTGAAATTTCACTTCTCAGGGTGCATCTGCATTTATCTCCTTTTTTTTTCTTAGCGGTCCTTGTTTTTCTCTGTAAATAGAGTGGGATTTGGATGAAGTGATAGCCATTGTGCCTTCAAACTGGTAAACTTGGTAAATAATAGTTTCACTTCTATAGCATCAGTGAATCAAATAAGAGATTTTGTAATCATGTATGTGTAAAGGATTTCATTCTCTATTGCTTTTTAGGTCGTATAAAGGAGGTTTAAATTGATGTTTTGTTCATACTAAAGGATTTTTTTTTCGTACGTTGTGCCTTCTGTTTGAAATTGGTTTTGTCAGGAATCCTCTTGTCACTTGAAAGATAAATTGAAGTCTACTTTTTATTTGGACTATTTAAAACTCAGCTATTGCTAACACAATTAATTCAAATAGCTGAGAAATAATTGGAAAAGACTTCCATCTGTAGTTGTAGACTTTAAACTTTAATCAGCGGGTAAGAAGCTCTTTTAGCTGTGGCTTTATATGTCTTCCAGCAAAGAGAGCATAGACCAGACTTGACATTTCTGATGTTTCAAGGGTAAAGAAAGTAACGTGCTTTTAGACCTTCCTTATACATCACAAAGAAGCAAGAGTAGATCAGTGTTGTCTTAGTTCTACTATTTTGTACTTTTGTGTGTATATTTATATATGTGTATGTATAAATTATACACACACATATGTTTGTGTCTACATATGATTTTTTTGTATGTGTGTATGTACTTTTATGTATAAATATCAAAGTTTTTCATGTAGGAATTACTTTTATGACGTGAATGTAGTAGCAGAAGGTGTTTCATAGAAGTTCTGTTTTCAACCATTGTTTTACTGTACCTGGAGACTGAGTTCCTCTCCACCTGTGCAGCAGGAAAAGCCTGGGCAGGAGGTGTGCTGGATTTCCTGTGATGCTTTGCCGAAGTGCCTTTTGGTTTGTTTACACATGAAAGGTATTACAGGGTATACGTAGAGTGCGAATGCAAAGTCCGATAAGTACTGTGGACTGTCTCCTTGTGAAGTAGTCATATAGAGGGAAACTTTCTCTAGTTTCATTTAATCCAAAATGAATGATGGAGATTCCTTAGTTAGAGGAATTTAATTATTTTGGAATTAGGTCATCATCTCCAACACTAGGCCATCCCTCAGTCATGTTACCTAAATTCTGCTTTTAAGGATATTCTGTTTCCTTTTATCTTGTCCTTTGATCCTGTGCGTCTTTATGAAGCATTGTAAAAGATGCACTTTGGCAGCAAATGTTAAAAAAAACATCGAAAACATGCCCAGAAAAAAAAAAAAAAGAGGCTTGCTCTGAAGTGCTCCTTCCTTAAACTGCAGGGGAGCTTTCCATACTATCTGTCTGAAGTTGGCGTGGGAAGGCCTGTAGGTAGATATGTCATTCTTTTGGTAATTTTAAAATGAATATGATAATTTTATCATTTAAAGCAACTTCCCAATTTTTAAAGGCTTCAATTTAGTAGTGTCCTTCCTTGTATTCATAATTCTGAGCTGTCTGGCTAGATAGCTCTACGGAAGTGGATGGGGTTTCTGTTATTTAGATTATGCACATGATTAAGTACGTTAGCGAGCAGGTCTTGCATGGAAAACCAGTTTTGCATAGGAGTTTGTACCTTACAATGTACTCAAAAGTCCAAATTACATACCAAAAGAGAAAAATGAAGGAAGAAAAAAAAAAGGAAGACCCTTGTTTCTGCTGCCTGATTCTTTCGTTGGAGCTCTCATGCCAACTTTTCCAGATACAAGATGTAATTATGGTACATAGTGAATAGAATCCATCTCACTGAATGTTAGCTCTGTGGAAGTTAGACATCTAGTTTAAGGGAGGAATCTGGGCACCTCTAGAGAGCTATTAATCTCCTCTTTAGATAGGTATTTAAGGAAAGTAGAATGAGTCATGTTCTGGAGAGCATCTCTGGAGACTGTGGAAGCTGTGATTTAGTTTAGGTTAGATACTCAGCTTTAGAATACTAAACTGAGATTAATTCCATCCAGCGCTGTACTACCTGTCTTGCAATGGCAAAACCAAGATCAGAACAACGTCCATCCCCAAACCTCATAACCTTCCAAAATCCATGCAGGAAGAAGCAAGTTAAAGAGATGCTGACAACTTGAAAAGTCAGTGTTTTAAATGCCAGGATCTACTTCTGCCCCTGAATCCCTTGCCAATGCCTGTGGTATGTCTTTGTGGGGGGTGGGGCTTGTCGTTTTTTGATTGGAGGTTTTTTTTTGTGGATCTGCATCCCCTTTCCCTGTTGTGAAATCTCATGTACCTAACTGGCGATATGCATAGTTCTATAAATGCATGAAATTAATGGGCAAATGTAATTAATGTATTGCAGCTATTTTTATAATCTTTCATATTGCTATAATTAAGATTATGACTAGTTTAACTTCTCTCCTGTCATCACTGTGCATTTGCAAAAATTGTATGTTTAGTCCTGGTTCTTATACTGTGTACTTACTTCATCTTATGGGATATGTTTCCCACATCATATCTGCAGGACTACTAAATTTACAAAAACTTAACAAAATGTAGCATTTTATTATATGGGGTATGAGGTTCACATGTTCATTATTACTCTTTTGCAATGATTCTGTAAGTTGTAGCTTTTGAAATTACTAGGCTAGAAATTCTTGGTTTAATGCATCCGTATATGCTGTGTTAGACACAGTCAGTGTTTTTCCCAAGTGAAGGTATTTGTCCTTCACGGAGATGATGATTTATGTGATTTTAGATTTCTGACTTGATAATGAAATCCAAGAAGGGCTTTTTATTAACTATTAGGGACAGGTTGTGGTAACTGACATTAGGAAGGGCTGAGGCATGAGTCCTTTGTGTTACAGATCCTCATGATCTTCAAAGATGGGCCTCAGCAAGAGTTGGCTCTTTTTAAGAAGATTCAGCCTCAGCAGTAACAGGCAGTGGTGAGATTTTCCTTTTTAACTGATGGACTAAGTACTGTTATTTTAGTTTGAGTTATGTAGCTCTAGTTTCTCCCTGTCTTGTTTTCATTTAAGAATGGTAAGTGGGGCAGTAAGGACACACATCATAAATTGGAGGGCATCCTTTT